CTGTAAGTTTGGCATTGTTTGTATTAATTGCTTGCTGTTTAGCAATATCTCACCAAAATTACCATCACACATATTAATTTATAACAGTATTAAAGTGAGAACCTTCTGAGGATTCATCATCTGATGGTGACTTTTCTTGTTCTGTTGATTTCACAGGATCCTCCTGAGCTTTAGACCGAGTAAACAATCCACTAATGTAGTTCCAGAGCGATTGTTCTTTCTCCAGACTGTAAGGAGGAATCAGAAGAGAACAACAGTGTTGAGTGGAACAAGTTGAAAATTAGTAACTAATTTTAATTAGTACAAAGTAGACAGTAACAAAATATTTGTTTGTTTCAAATATAATACATTTCAAAGAAATTACATGATGTTTTTCTGTTGGTGTTAGCATGACTGCGACAGAAGGATGTTTTCTCACCTCAGTTTACAGTTTGAGTCTCGTAGCACATCACTGAGCTGCTGCTTGGAGTCTCCTATTTTATTGTTACTCAGATCAAGCTCTTTTAAAAACACCAGTGCTTTTGTTTCAGCCAAAGACTGAGCCAAACAAGCAACATCTGTAATGCCACAGTCATTTAGACTAGAAAGAGAAAGACAAGCAGACAGAGGAAGAAAATTATTTCCCCTTTAACCCAGAGTGTGATATTAACCCAGAGGGCACAGTCATGTTTGTCATTTCTTAGCATCATTTTGTACAAGGCAAAATCACAGTCACTTCAATGGGAAACCATGTGATGAGGAGTTTCACCTAATGGATTTCCAGTGGCAATTCCCATTAATTATTTAAACTATGGTGGCCCGCCATAGTCTAATTTGTCCCACCATAGTTTGATAATGAACCAAACATATTTGAAAGTTCTCATTAACATAAACTTGGACTGTTGCTTCAGTCAACCACTGTGAGTGAAGGAGACAGACTGAATGAATCTGCAGTTCACTCTCTGACAGTAGATGGTACTCAAGAAACCACGTAAACAAAGCAGACTGCACTACTTTCTGTTCCTGACATGCACCTTTCACAGAGAAGAAAGTCAAAAATATGTACATGTTTTCAGGCAGCCATTCAGATTTTTGTATTCGTTTTGGTGTTTATCAAACAACACTAAATACTTAAAGACTTGGTATTTATTTTCAAAAAATAATTTTTATTAAAACAGTTTTTCATTTTAATCTGGACTAAAACATGCCAGAAAATATATCTTTAAAAAGGTTCTGTATTATATTATTGAACTTTATAGCTGTGTTCTTTTGCACTTGAATCGGTTTGAAACATTTGATTAATTTTACCATTTTGTGTACTGTTTTATTGTATTTTCAAAAGCGCTGCTATGTTTAAACTTCTTTTTGTTATATAAATTGTATATTATTATTTATATTATTGTTATTTATATGGCCAAAAACCCTTGGCCAACAAAACTCTTAACAGATCCAGCTTCTTCATTTTCCCTGAAAGAGCACCAGACTGATGCATTTACTTTTAAAATGTTCAATTTATTTCCCTGACATGATGACTTTTGTATTGAGTTCAGATCTGACAGAGAAATTCACAGTACTGACCAACAGAAGTTGCCTGATGTTTTAAAATATAAATGAAGGAAACAGGGCAGTTTAAAAATAAAAAAAGTCTACATAATAAAGAAAAATAAAAGCACAATCGAAGTGTCAGAGAAAGAAGATTCTGCAGGAACACATTCACTCTTCAGCAACTTATAAATGTTATTTTCTGTTAATGTTATAATATCATTACAGTTACTCTTATCACAAACATCATTTCTTGCATTAAACTAATTGCCTTTTTTGCACTCCATTGCTTACACTCTGGTTTGAGGCGCATGTACTTTGGGCAGCTTGGCTGATAATGTTACCCTGCTGTTGTTCACTCTGTGGCCTCTGCCATCTTTTAAAAAGTATCTTGAAGTTACAAATTTTTTTCATGACTGTTAATGATGTTCCTGTTACTGAGGTTCTTTGTGCCACACTGCACATTTAAAGCTAATCGGTAATGAAATTATCACCTGCCATGTGTTTGGTACCTGGCAGGTGTTTATAACAGACCCTGCTTTCATCAGTTCATAAAACACAACAGAAATTATTTTCCACAAATATAATGTGAACTCAGACACTTTGTGAGACATTGAGTAAAAGTGTTATAGTTAAATTGCAATGTTGAAATGATTTTAAGCATTTTTAAGCATGTTCCTCACCTCAATCTGTCCAGTTTACAGTATGAATCCTTCAGTACGTCAGATAAGTGATTCACTCCTGTGTTTTCTATTTTATTCTGACTGAGGTCCAGTTCTCTCAGGTGTGATGGGTTTAAACACAGAGCTGAAGTCAGGATGAGACACTGTTTCTCTGTAATACTGCATCCACACAGACTGAAGACAGAAAGAGAAAAAGCAATGAATCAGATCCATGTTAAGTTTATGTGTGAGTTAAATGCATCATACTGTAACTAAATGTCATATAGCACACTAATACACCAGCAGAAGCATGAAAAATATATTATAGAACCATAAACCAATTCCTAGCCAGGATTTGAGGATATTAGATTCAACCCAAGTTTAGACAATCATCACTCAGTCAAAACAAATGCTTTTTATATAGGATAGAAAATGATCAATTTTACAAACATTTACAAACTTCTGAAAAAATAAATAAATCTATTGTCATGCAAGTTTTTGTCCAATTAATTCGGTCTCATTTTGCAGCAAAGTTTTGTCAGATTTCAGCATATAAAACTTTCTGCTGATAGAAATACTGAACCATCAGTCCATTAGCTCATAGTACTTTAGAATCTTTCTTTAGAAGGGGAAACACCAGAATATTCAGTGCTATTCATTTTGTAACTTGTGCCCTGTTGTCTTAATAAATAGTACATTTAAATCACACTGTAATTGCTGTACAGAGTAATGATACTAACTGTAGTTTTTCCAGCTTGCATCGTGAACTGCCCAACAGAACACCAAGGTTTTCAACTCCAGAGTCTCCTAGTTGATTCACACTGATGTTCAGCTCTCTCAGGTGTGATGTGTTTGATTTCAGAGCTGAAGTCAGGAAGACACACTGTTTCTCTGTAATACTGCATTCACACAAACTGAAGACAAGAGAAAAGACCATGTTAAGTTCACATGTGAGTTAAATGCATCATGAATAAACACCATACTGTCACTGATACACCACCAAAAACCTGGAAACTTAATTATAGAACCATAAAACAGACATAGACAGAATACAATAAATATAGACAATAGACAGAAGCATAACTGATTTGAGGATACTAGTTACAACCCAAGTCTGGAGCACCTTCACACTTGCACATAAAAAGTTTGTGAATTATAAATGTAGATTAATATCACTGAAAAAGATAACATTTAAATTGCCTGTTTTCACATTGCTAATTTGAGAAAATCAAGAAAATTTTGTTAATGAGAATCACAATTTTAAGTAATTTTTAGAGTCTAGTTTACATCACAAAATACACATTTTGCTTAATAAAAACTGATTTAGTGAAAAGTACCATTAGTCCTGTAAAAACCATGTAACTGTCAGAATAATCTACTGTCATTCATGTTACGTTCATTTTTTTAAGTCTGGTTTTACTTCTATCTCTTTTTGCAGAAAAGGTTTGACAGACTTCAGCATATGAAAATTTTATAGCCACAAAGTTTCAAATGCTTCCAAGTTTTTTTTTTTTTTTTTACTGACACACATATTACTGAATCATCAGTCCATTAGCTCATAATATAATAAACTTTAATCACACTGTAACTGCTGTACAGTATAATATTACTAACGCTAGTTTCTCCAGCTTGCATTGTGAGTTCATCAGTAGATCACTGAGGTTTGCCATGACTCTCGATTGTCCTATTTCATTCCCACTCAGGTCAAGCTCTCTCAGGTGTGATGGGTTTGATCTCAGAGCTGAAGTCAGAGCTGAACAATCATCAGCTTTTATAGCACAGTACCTTAACCTGCATTCAGAGAAATGAGACAAATATATATATTTTTTCATTCTGTTTCATTAATATACCAAAACACTAAATTGTTTGTTGTACGTGAATGTTCCTCACCTCAATCTCTCCAGTTTAAAGCATGGATCCTTCAGTACATCATAAAATGTATTCACTCTTGAGTGGCGAAGTACATTCCTACTGAGGTCCAGTTCTCTCAGGTATGATGGGTTTGATTTCAGAGCTGAGGTCAGGAACCCACACTGTTTCTCTTTAATAAACAAAAAATTATTTAAGTTTTAATTTTACCTAGAGATAATACCACTGTTATGAGAGAAAAAAAAAATATCTTAACAGTTTTTTTCACCTCTGGAAGCTTCCAGATTCAATAAATATATAATGTTAAGTGTAGGTGATGTTGAAATGTACTCACTTTAATATCTTTAGCTTAGATTTCTTCAGTCCCTTACAGATCTCTTTGACTCCTGAGTCCAGCAGACGGCTGTTGTTCAGGTTCATCTCTTTCAGGATGGTTTTGGAGGAGAGAACAGTAGCTAGAACTGAACAGCTTTTCTCTGTCAGCTCACAATTATTCAGCCTGAACACAAAAACAGCATTATTTATTATTCAGATCATATTCAACACACATCAGATAAGCAGCTCTTCATATCTGCTCACATGTGACTGACAGTACTTTATACTGAACAAAACAAAAGCTGACTCACTTCATTTTCTCATGTTTGCTATGAGAGTCCATCAAAAGAGCAGAGAGTTTCTCTCCATCCAGGTCTCCTAATTTATCTTCACTCAGATCTAGTTCCGTTAGTACTAATGGATTTGTACCAAGAACTTGACTCAGATAGTCACACGTTTCCTGTGCAGCTGAACTTGTCAAAAACCTACAGGAAGCAGAACATTTAGAACATTTAAATTAGATAATCTTGTTAGAATTTTATGCCTTTTGCAGCTCCGATCCTCCTTATGGGTCCAGTGTAGTACTAAAGTATAGTAAAGAGTAGAATGTGTTAGTCATAATTGTGATAAATATGACCAGTTTTGCTGAATAGCAATTCAGTACATTCCTCTTCATGTCAGTCTAATTCTGCATTTGCTTTATTTGTCACATTTAACTAGTTGCACACATCTGAATATGTCTTTGGCTTATTTCGAAATACTAATGCATTAATAGAACCTGCTTCATTTGAGTTTCATACAATAGCTAAACTTTAAACACAAAGTTAATTGTTTAAAAAAAAAAAAAAGTTTCCATAGCCATCTTATTTTTTTTTTTTCAATTAATCTAATCAAATGGACATTTCTAAATGTATATTATCATGCAGAAATGTAGATGAATAAAAAATACACACTTCAGTTTCTTCAAGCTACATTGTGGATTTCTCAACAGAACACAGATCATCTTGATTCCAGTGTTTCCTAATTTATTTCCACTCAGATCCAGCTCTATCAGGTTTGAAGGATTTGAAATAAACACTGAAGTCAGAGCAGCAAAACCTTTTTCTGTAATACTGTTATTATTTAGCCTGCAGAGAAAGAAAACAAAGACAGGAAAAATTATTTGGAATATTTTAGCCACACCACACAACTTCATTAACAGAAAGGGTTTTAAAGCCAAAGACATTGGGACTCTCTTCTGACACAACATGCATTTCAAAGCCACAGCAAACCTAGTCTAATATAAGTAAAAACTTCTTAAGCAATTAAGTAAATAAGTAAACAATCTGTGATGAAAGCAAAATCAAATTACAAGCAATAAGACAAATAAACACACCAGAACAAAGACGCAAATTAGTTGTTTTTTTATGTAGCCTATTATTCAAGTACAAAATACTACAAAAAATGGCGTCATTAAATATGAAATAAAATAAAACTGTGGGGACTGCATAAATTAAATATGCTACAAAAGTTTTTCAGTCAAGAGCAGCAGGTATATTAGGTTGCTTTCACTTTAATACTGAATGCACTTTTAATAAAATAATAGATTTTATTTATTGATACACATCTGATTTTCTCCAAACTGTTTACGCTCACTTTAGACATATCTGACTGTGTTTACCTGAATACACACATTTTGATACATAATGTGTAATATGTAAATATAGTGTATTGTTGTATTGTACATGCTTTAGGGGTGTGCGCACACAGGGCCACCTGAAAGCTTGTGAATAGAGAATGCAGTTCTCTAGCACAGTTTATTGTGCTTTTAATAACTTAACAAGCATGTTACAATCTTCATTTTCTCATTCAGCATTATTCTTTTTAGCTTTAACATGTCAATAAATACAAAGCTCTGTCATGAAACTACAAGGCGCATGGCACTCAATCTAATATAATCACATCATTATTCACATGGCGCAGCTGATTGGTTTCTT